TTCACATACAATAGTAAATAAAATGTGATTAAAGTAGAACACATGAATAGTATATAAATTGCAATGTTGCAACTAATATGATACCGATAATAGTATATAATTGTGTCTATGTAGATAGATAAGGTGTGTACATGCACTTATCTATGTACATGCACCATATTTGTGGAGTAGATTAATTCATTCCATCATTTCAATCAACATTTATCAAACGGTATTACTTCCTCCGTTCCTTTTTAATTGCAACAGTCAACATGTCACGTTTGCCAACGCACAAGTTAGACCATTAATATCTTTCATTCCTTATTAGTAAAAAAATTAAAAAAATCATATTTTGAAAATATAGAATGAGAAGAATTTAACAATATTTTTTAAAAATTTAATTTATAATGCATTAATTAATAAAATATAGTCAAAGTATAATACGTGAATAGTGCAAAAAGTTGAATGTTGCAATTAAAAAAGAATATTACGGAGTATATAGAACGCCAACTTTGAATCTTTGTCAAATCCCACGGGTGATTTCGACCTTCACCAAAACCCAATCATAGATCCGTAATAACTATAGACAGCTGTTGTAAAAAAAAAGGATGACACCCCATCCCTGAGGGGCCCCCAACACCGACCGGACAGCACGATGGGAGGATGTAAATTGGACTATAATCACAATCTGACAGATAGAGAGTGGGGCTCTGTCCCCGGTACTTGCAGAGGCCCTATGCATTTTTCAGCATAGTAACCCCTCATCGCAGTTGCCGGGATTCGAACCCGAGATCTAACCCTTGTGGCACTCCCTCGCTACCAGTTGAGCTACGTCCACCGGTTAGACAGCTGTTGTAGTCCATGGGATGTGTAACAATAATTTGATATAACAATAATAATGATAAAACCATTACACACAAATTACGGTTTTTGTTAGGAATTGTCCATATACACCTTGGAGGGTGTACAAAGTGTACACCAAAAGGGTGTATACCTCACAATAATTATATATGTACATGGGTGTAAGTTTGATCACGAAGAAATGGAGTGCTTACTAAAAATGTGATTTTAATCAAATTGATTAAGTAAGAAAACATAACAATGATTAAGGATAATATAAAAATTACTAAAAGCCCATTCGATAACGCTAAAATTGGATGAATCGGTTGATTCTGCCAAAAATTTATGAAATTCTGGTTGAAGTGACTGTATTGGCTTATTTTGCTGATTTATAAAAAAATTAAAATATTGTTTATTAATAAAATAAAGTAAAAATCATATGAAAAATAGTTAAAATGATCATTTACAGTAACATCACTCAATATAGTCACAAAATAACTACAACCTTACTTTTTCTTATTAATACACATTTCAGCACACGAAATAAAAAATTACATGTTTTGTGAGAAAATGGCTGATAAGCCAAAAACGGGTAACTAAACGGGTTCTAAATTTGGTATGCGATAATCATAGTGAGATAGAGCAAAAAGAAAAGTTAGTCAAAATATACCTTGTCCCAATTTGATTGACAAAATGTCTTATTTTGATTGTCTCGAAATGACTTTCACTTTTAATTGTTATTATGAAAAGTTTAATAAAATGACAAGTTTTATCATTACTTTTACTTTTTTGTAGTTACTTAAATGTCCCAACTTTATTGGACAAAATAGTAAAGCCCAACTTTATTTGTTATTTTCTTTAATTGTTGTGTCATTCATTTTTTGCATATCAAATTGAGATTGAGAAAGTAATTTTTATTGTACACTTTGAATTGTATAATAATCCATATAAGTAAAATTTGAATTACATTTATGGTTAAAATGGTTGAAGACTATTATTTTAGCTATCTGCCTATATCGTCTATGTATTTATTTATTTTATTAGTACAATATTGGACCATTTCTCGATTTGTGCGTGTCATCCTTGTGCAGGGTTTATTAGTACAATATATTTTAAACATAATCTTTTTATAACTAAGCAATTCAATCGCTTCAAAACAAACTTTTAAAACGTAAGCAATTCACAGGTTTACTCGATTCAACCAATATTAGTGTTACCAAATTGGCTCATCTAACAATATTATAACTATGAATAGGGGTTGGTACCCCTGATTTGTGTCAACACACATAATGCATAGGATGTTATACATTGTTATTAGAAAGTGAAACCTATTTTTCCATTTGGCTGCTTTACCCTTACTTCCCGTTAGGTTTTAACTTCCGTTAGCTCGGTCTTTGAGCCGCACATCTCCTTCGTTGTTGGGGAGACAACCTGTGCCTTGAACGAGGAAAAAACAGGCCGAGAATTTGATTCGATCTTTCATAATCAACTCAGTTAATAATATTAAATTTCTCTTTATTGATTGTGCTTGTACCACACCCTTTGCCTTGCTCCTAGCGGTCGGTTCGTTTTTTTTTTCGCTCAGATTTGCTGCCGCACAGGATATTCTCCCAACCGCCCATTGGAAATTCAAGGTTTTACGTATAGCTGTAAATAATACGCGCCTCAGCTGAACACATTTGAGCTTTGTTTTCATCCCATAGTCGTGTAAGTTTCTCATTTTGTTTGGTTTGCACTTAATTGCATTTGACTTGTTTGCCTAGTTTATCTATGTGTGTGCAAGTTCAACGGCTTGAGTTCCCTATCCCCACTGATTCTTTGATTTCTGATTCGTATTATTAACGTAATTACATTACTGGGGCAGTTAATTGGTTGTTTGAAGGTGTCTTTAATTTGAATCAAACTATGAACTCTTTGAGCTAAATGGACTATGGAAAACACTTTTTGTCTTTGTAGTTAAATTGTGTTTTTCAGCCCTCAAATTTAAGCAATAGTTTATATTTTCCAAGCATATTTTTATTTCCCCCACTTGTGTTGTCCTCCAGGTCTAAAACAGAGCATGATAAAAGCCTATTGTCTTTAAGAAAATAGATTATTAAAAACTAGAAATTGTTTCCCTTTACTGAAATAAATATATTTTGAAATTGAATTATATTTTCTATCCCAATGGAAAATATATTTCACATTGTTGTATTAAAAAGTTTTAAGAGTCTCTTTTTAAAATGTTTAAAAAACTCTCGTAACAATTTTGCATATAACACTTTTTTTTACAAAAGACAACATTATTTTAATATTAGACAAACACTCTCACGCCTTGCGCGAGTAATCGCTAGTAATAATATAGAGTAATAATTATAGTAGCTTCAACCACTTTTTTGAAAAACGTGAAAACGAGACTTGACAGAATTAAACTAACTTCAGCTAAACTTTTTAGGAATGAAATATATTAATAATCAAATTTGTGCTTTGAAAATTGTGAAAATGACTTTAATGTGATTAGAAAGTAGTGTAATCACTACATCCTAATCAAAGTATTAGTCACCAAAGTTTGACCCTTGTAATCAAGAAAATGGGGATTTTGCTTCGTTGGGCTGGGCTACTTCTTTGTCAAAGTTTTAGCCGGGACTCGTTGGGGAAGATGACCGGAGTGTATCGACTGTCGTGATTCAAGTGCGGGATGCTTCATTTATCATTACTTTTAAGCTAGTAAGGAAGGAGGTGCAACCATGCAGTGAGCCAGTGAGTAGCAAAAACAGACCAAAACAGGCAACGGGAAAAGACGACAAGAAGAAAAAAGACAAAGTAAAAGGAAAAAAACAGTAGTAGATCTCTAATTTAGATACTTAAGGGTGTAATTGATAAAAACTAAAGTATAGAAGTCCAATTAACTTTTCGTATATAGTAAAAAAGACTTATTTGGCATTCCCCCCCTAATATTTACATCAATATATTTATAATTAACATGTCATTTTATCAAAATTCAATACCAAATTCTTCAGGAAAAAAGTTTTAACAATTACTATCAAATTCTAACATTTTATATTTATTTTTTAGTTTTATCAAAAACAAAAATTCATTTATTTATTGACACCAATAAGGGGATTTTAAATACTAACCCTCTTTTGCTAAACACTGCCCACAATTAAAATTAATTAATTAAATATAAATATAATCCCTATTATATCCTTTAGTTTGTCCAAATCGGCTCATTGTGGAAGTTGGTTGGTGTTGCAGAAGATACTACTGACCAGAGCTTTGTTTATGCGGCGGAAAAAGGAGTTTTGGAGAAAGATGATGATTGAGGCTAATTTTTTGCTGCACGAGATGTTGCTGATTAGCTGATTGCTGGTCTTTGCTGTGAGAAGGAGAAGGAGATGAAATTTCCATGTCTGTTGATATGTCCGTTCGATGTTAAGTAGGATACGCCATCACTATTTCAGTTAAAAGCTCCAAATAAACCATTGTCTTGTTGCCATTTCTACTCGTTCGCCAATTAAGAAAAAGAGGTTCAATCGGTCGAGGAAGATGAGACTGCCAGTTCATTGGAGAGGCGAACCAGAGCCCATTGTTGAGAATTGAGATGGTGATGTTGCTGACCCGAGCTTTGCAAAGAGATGTCCAGGGGCGCAGACGCGCAGTGAATGTAGTGAATGTTCAGGAGAAGATTGTCTCTCAAAACTCTGTAAGTTTCGGTCATGGCAGCTGCCATCAGACTGTTGGAGGTGTTGCTGAGATGGAAATATTGCCGGCAAGCCGCTCGAGAAATCTGCCGCTGCACCCCGGAGAAAGGAGGTCGCCAATTGAGAGTTTGGCCGCCATCACCGTCGTTGTAGATTTGATTTGAGATGGCAGGAGGAGTATGGCACAATTTACTCCATTTTCTCAATCTTTAGAACAGCATGACCACAGGCACCGCTTCTCTCTGCCACATCAACAAAGGCCATATCTCGTCCAACGCACCACAGCCAGTTGGGACAAACAAAAGGATATAATAGGCATTTTATGTATACTTAGTTAATATTAATTAAAGGTCATGTTTAACAAAATAGGGGCTGCATTTAGAATTTTCCTATTAATAACGATGCGTGTATAGACATCTTCATCCTCGGGATAAGGCAGCTCCTACCGTCCTTTTACCCTTATCTCATACGGAGTATTACCCTTTCACATTTTCATTCCTTCCGACTTCCAAATAGGGATAACCGGTTAAAATACTTTCGCGTCAATATTTATTCAAACAAGATGTAACATAAAAACACGAGAGTAAAGGGTTTAAACAGGAGACAACACAATATGGGATGCAGAAAATAGTGTGCCACCATGAAGCAAAGCAAGCAGCAATTCAGATCCTTATTTTGTTCATACAACTGATGATTAAGGCGTGAAAGCACTCTTACTTATTTACAGAACACAATTAGCGGGTTGGGCTGGGGTGGGGGTGGGGAGGAAAAGTTGAAACATCCGCTAACTGACAAAGCTGAAAGCCACTCCCACTCACTCATGTAGCCTCTGCAAGCGGAAAATGCAACTTTGATACAGAACTATAGAGATAACTGCTTCCACATAACTGATCTGGGCTAGCAATATCCAAACCGATAGTCGGAAGTTCGCGTGATGAGATCACTACATTGTGGTCTTCCAAGTGATAGAAGCCCCTCTCACAGGTCCCGCCATATTTCCGCCCATGCTTCTTCTTGTCTTTCCCCTTGTTGGCTCGCGAGGATTTTCCGCTGCTTTGCTGCTTATTCTTCTTCCCGTTCTTCTTGCCATCACTTCTGTGGCGTTGATGTCTGTTGATGGACACATTAGAAATTGGTATTGGGACAGGTGGATCATACACATCAGGTGCCCAGCTGACATGGAGTTTCTTATGGGGTACTATCCCCTGCTTCTCACGGCTACCCTTCAGGGCAGATAAAAGCTTCGTGGCACTCTGTCAAAACGAGAAACAAGGAGGGAAATCAGCCTAATTTTATGACACGTCAATTCTACAGCGCTTATCAATACTCACCAAAGACAGAAGCCCAAAATAATATGCAGCCTAATTATCAGCAAAGGCATTAAAATATATAACACAATTTTTAAAAGCATTGAGAAGATAGTAAATAAACCATTTTCACTTGAGCTCTAGCTGTCTTGCAGAACCTTGAACTCAACAAGGTCACAAACTATAAGTATTCATGCTATTAACAACAATACAATGAAAACAATTACAAAGAAGCACATAAAGAAACATTGTATAAGTATTCATGTGGTTGACACTAAAGAAATGAAACTAACCATATAGAAAAAGTCAAGTACAACGTTAAATGATGAAAAGGGAAGATAGAGAGAAGAAATCTATGAAAGAAAATGCAAACTTGGTGGTTGGACTGCCTGGTAAAAATAGGATAGGCAATAAATCTATCTTAGGCGCCCTACGAATGCCTAGTTGACATCTGAACAATCCTTTTCAATGTTTGGCGCTCTTTAGGCAAAGTGACCAGCCATGGTGAGTGCACTCCACCGCCTGGACACCTAATTTATGCCTAGACGACGCCATAACAATTATGTTACAAAACATGCAATTATTCTCTAATCCGTAACAAATGGTGGATAAAAGAACAAAAATTAATCCATCATGCACCAAGACAATAAGAACTTACTGGTAAAGATTTTGAGGGTGTAGACAGCGGTGCGGAGCTTGCTTCACCATTAGGTGCCAAAGGTTCAGCAGTTACATCATTCATTTGCTCCATTTGTCTTTGATGGATTAGCTCATTGGGAGATGAGCTCTTAGTCGAGCTAGGAAAGGTTGCAAATTTGACAAGGCACTTTTTTGAGGACAACCTATCTGAGAAATTGTCGGGAGTACTTTGAATATCATCTTTTGAGAACTTTGAATTACACAGCTGTTGATCCTCTAGAATGATGACTAAATCACTCAAACGGTTCCTGAGATCACCATCTAGGCCAGAATCTAGAGCACTGTTGTAATGTTCACAACCAGAATGACTCCCCGGCGACAGACAAGTGTGGCTTACATTTCCAGAAGCTGACTTATCACAATATGCACAAACATCCATCAATCGGAAAGAGTGCTGAGTAGATCTGTTAAATCACAAATATGAATTATTTCAGAATGTCATACTCCAGCTCATAATTTCACTGAGTTAGGGAAACAAGCTAGCTTCTTTCTTCCAAGGCTGTTTAGTAAGCCCAGCTTTATAAGGCAAAAAGGGCATTTAACATGAAATCATTCCTAACATATTATAATTTGATAGATATTAGTATATTACCAACTCCATCCCACTATCTTTGTCCCACTATCTTTGTCCCACCTTGCCTATCTTATCCGTCTGACTAAGTTTGTCTCATACTGTATTAAGTAATACTGGTATGGTTCAAATTCATTCATACTTGTTTCATTATCAACCACATAATTCCACTTGCCTTAATATGTGTGCCACTTTTTCATGTCCCAAAGATAATCAGATGGAGGTAGGATATAATATTGTACTTGCTCATACAACTAGGCTACGATAACTAACTAAATGCGCGAAACCTTCTCTGCATCTGTGAGGAGCTGTTAAATGTAGACCGAAAAGTGTGCCCCGAGGCATTTACTAAATCAAAGAACCAAAACTCTGCCCACACACAGGCAAGCAGGAGGCATCTGTGAAGAGCCCAATTCTTCCTGTTCGGCCTAAATCAACCCAGGCCTACCTGAGATCAGGGCCCAGGTATCCAACCAAGGTGCAGGCCCACATGTTAAGGCATATAAACTCCATCTCAACCATTGTGAGGCCTTTCTCAGTGGATCTACAATCACCAACTATTTTTTCCAACTCATTCTGGTATTTTCTAATAGCTGAAAGCAGCTAGCAAGTAGCAAGCATGTGGTTATTACTGGTAAAGGGAATTTAAACATGTGAATACTGATGTGAACAAGGTCAACAAGACAACATAGAAGATGTAAGAGCAGTTCAGCGTTTAGTACGAATGGTAGCCTATTCCAATACTACCACGTAATGAGAGAGTGTAATGGTAATCCGCCCTTCACTCAATACTGCCAAAGTAAATGCTTATTATGTGCTTGACAAACATATTGAGCTGTGAATACATTACAGAAAGAGAAAAGAGGCACCAAATGCATGCATTGATGTAATAAAAACTACATGCAGATGCATAAAGAACCTGTAGCTAATAAACTACAATGATGCACAAAATTACCTTCTAAGAGGGCGGATGGAACTAGTCAAAATCCTTCTTAAACGAGTAAAAACGCCAGAAAAGACTCGGCTATAAGCAGAAACGAGATCAAATGTCGAAGATCGGTAAATTCCTGGACAGCTTCAGTTTACTATTCTCAGCCTTCAAAGATCAAAATATAGAACCATTGAAAGAAATAAAAACAACCTCAGGGTAACTTCTAGCAACAACGAAAGCGATAAAAGGGAAAGCAAGCGTTAACTATGACTACTACGCCGATGACTCTTCTCGAGAGGCTTCAGACGATGAAAACACAAAACACCATAGAAGCAGTTCGCGTACGGGCATATTATGAACAGGTCGTTTAGGGTAGAAGGCACCGAAGGCATTTTCTGGTCCGATGCCTATGCGATTTCTCTCCTAATGAAAACCCTAAGAGATTCAATCCACTTCCAGCTTTCAACACGATCACTCGCAATGATGATTAATATGAAATTCAACGGATTAAGCAAATATTAGAGGAACGAATGAACGATCAACGCGGATATAGATTGAAGCAGGATAATGAGTCGATCGGTATCGGAATCGAACAGCCCATTAGACTGGTTAGAGCAGGGAGAGATGACTCGATCGAACGGAAAACACGCTTTATCCAGAGTTGAGTCTATAGTCTATAGTTACCTTGACGATTTTATATACTCGTATTATTACTCTTGGCTTGTTTTACAAGACTATACATTTACCTTACGATTTTATATGGAGTAATATACTCCGTATTTAATAGGCAGCAAGTACAATATTAAGGAGTACTACGTACTATAGTACTCACTTCGTATTTAAACGATACTTACGTTTAGTTATGACACAAGATTTTAGGAGAATAATAAGGATAAAGGATAGTATATAAAAAGTAGGAGAGAATGTGAAAAAATATGAAAGAAGAATAAAAAGTAGAAAAAGTAAGGATAATTGAGTATTTTTAAAGGAAAAGTGTAGGAACTTTTAAATACATCCCAAAGAGAAAAGTATTGGGACATTTAAATACGGAGGGAGCATAATATAGAACCATATTTTCTTGTCCAAATAGGCAAATAACATGAGAATTTATTTCTATGAAAAAACCAATTAAATGAGAGTTTATTTCTCAAATAGTACTCCGTACTTTTTTGTGCCATAAAATTTGATTAAAGTTGAGTTGGTGTGGCATTGTAAAAATAGAAAATGTGTAATTGAAATTTGTACATAAATTGAATAGATAACTTGAAATTCTTATTTATTACTTTAAATATAAATGACAAAGCATTTTTAGCATCCTAAAAAGAAAAGTTAGCAAAAATTTGTTTTTTTAAAGCAGCAAAAATTTGTTGGAGGGGGCAACATTAAAGAAATTAAACTAAAAACAAAAATGTTATTTGACCAATGAATAGTAACTCATACACATGAAATCAATACACAAATAATATGTATGTAAGGATGTTTTTACTTGGACTGTAATTTTGCTGGTCTGATCTGATCTGGTCTGGCCTGAACTGGTCCGGTCTGGTAAGATCTGGTTTCTTTGTATTTTTATAACTATCCAAGTCTGGTCTGATCTGGTGTGATCTGAACTGGTCTGGTCTGGAACAAATTACAGTCCAAATAAAAACATAACATCCTAAGCTGTAAAACTTCAGTTTAAGCAGAGGGTGCAAATATATACCAGATCTATTTTTGTGTCATTCATTTACTACTCGTATAACATTGTATGAGAGACACATATCACATTATCACACTGTAAAAAATATCACTAGCTTCCACAAAAAAAGGTTTCATGCTTTCACGTGTTTCCTAAGAGCAGCAAAAGGTTTAATGAGCCATTTTCATCTTTTACCATTACCTTATTCCATCATAATTTTTTGTTTGATGAAACCATCAATGTTAACTTCAGTCCAGGCTGCACATGGTAGCTCTGGTGCTTTGGCTTTACAGCAGAAAGGTCAGATGGTATAACTGTTAACAATTTAATATGAAGAAAGTCCTGAAGTAGACTTTTGATCCTTAAATGCAATACAGAGCAGCATTTAGATTTTTATAGTGAACAGCATAGCACGAAAACGTAGGCGAAGATATGTGCAGAGGGCAAAAAGTAATAGATGGCTTCTTCATTGGAAACTTGGGACATGTAAACTGAGATTTATAAAACAAACTCGAGCATCCTTACTGAGAAGGCAATGCAAACAGATAAAACTTGGTCTCAAGCTGGCATAGGCCAAGTAATGGCAAACCAGCCTCTATTCTTCTACACCGCACATCACATTTCATTAAAAAAATTGAAACAAAGAAAAAAAATGTCATTTGAACAAAAAGTTACATCAACAACATGCAGCCAAGGAAAAGAGCCCATGGCAAACCCTATTCTTCTACACCGCACAGCACATGACAACGTCTGGTCAGCACTTGGCACTTCAGCAGGTTTCACAACTAACCTGTCCACCAATGGTAACAAAACCAAATCAGTAAGTTTTATTTATTTTGATGTACTTTGATTTTACAAAATAAGTAACAATAGGGAAAATTCCCAAAATAGGAGTAAAAAGTTTGAAAATTCCAAAACAGGACTTTCGTGTTTTTATTCCCAAAATAGGAGTAATTAAGGTCAAGTTTGTCTTGTTTAAAGTCTGGTACTGCCAAAACATGACAATAATTAGTCCTATTTTGGGAATAAAACATGATGGTACTATTTTGGAATTTACAAATGTTTTTAGTCCTATTTAGGGTAATTTACCATAACAGTAATACATGAAATATCAGATGAACAAATAGTCTCCCCTTGAAGCAGCAAGCTGAGTAGTTTTATCATGACCATGCTTCACAAAGGAGTCCAGTTTGTTATACACTTATACTCAAACTAGTATCACGAACATGACTTATTTGTTGTTTTTCTATGGGGGAGGCGGGGGCGGGGGGATAGGCAAATAACAAAGAACATTAAATAATTCAACAAATTGCCCGTATTTTACCAAAATTGGCAAAAAATACTCAGACACCGTGACACCATTAACAATATTACAGATGTGGAACTTATTCTACGTGTACCTAATTTTTTTGATATTGAGTCAGCAATCCATTGCAAATTAGGAGCATACTTTTATGCACTATGGAATTAGTTTGAAAGCAGTACTTCAGGAGACAATCCTAAAACAATGATGCATTATGTGTGAACAATGGATTGTTAAATCAACTTTTATCTAAATCATGTGTGCAATTCAGTAATACTTTGCAACCCACAAGACCAAAGTGTACTATAATGTGATCAGAAATATTTTTAGAGTAATTTACATCACACATACATCATAACACTAGATCAATATTAGGTTTTTGCATAATTTATTCATGTAAGGGCTAGATTTGTTAAGAGTAAAAATCCTCAAAAAAAACAGTAATAGACCAATTAAATGTAACCAAATTTAATAGAGGAGTTTTGTTACATAAGGCGTTTAATTGATTAGACCTAACCAATTAACTAACCGTGTCAGAATATGTCTGACACAAAAAAATCTCGGATAAAATGACACCCCTTCAACATGCTGGTCCACCAGTCTCGTGTATTTATCTAGATGAAGTATACCTTCAACCAAACATATGTTATCAAGTGACTGAGATAGTTTGGCCTTCCCCTAGTCTCATCACTCTCACGTATCTTTCTAGAGCCGGATTACCTCCTACCAAACATCTATGTATGAATTTGCTACTACATTCCATCCTTCCAGCTAAATTTTAGGCCACTTAATACCAGAAAGAGAATACCCAGCAACAGCCCCAACCCTCCCTCCCTCCCTCTCGGGTGATGCCTCCATCATAACGGAATTGATTCACGAAGTTTATTTAAAAAAACAGTTCTATATCAATCAATTCATCCGTTTTCTGTTTCATCAACCGCCACCTTTGCTTCATTTCCCCTTCTAATAGTTTTCGTGTGATAGAGTATAGATGATGGGTGTGAGTAATGGAAGTGTAGATAATTGTGAATTTGGGATTAACATAAGAGAGGGAACAGAAGTGTTAGTATAGACTATTGTTTCCCATTTCTAGTAGAGTAAAAATGCAAGGGTTAGTATGGTAATTGTTGACCCTGAAATTGACAAAAAAGTAGATCCATACAAAGAAGCGTGTGGGGATCTGAGGCTAGGGTTAAATAATGAAACAGAGTGTTGCACCCTTGCACCCAATTTGGGATAGAGTCATAGAGTTAATAAAATTTGAAGTGTTGGAAGGTTACCCATTTCCCTTGCCAACACTTAATTAATCTCCTTTTTTATTACTCTCCTCCCAAACAAGGTTAAGAGCTACACTGTCTTATTTCCTCTTTCTTGCAGCAATAGGCTTGGTAAATCAGCCCGAAGGACAAAATGTGATAGCAAACTTATAGTTGTGCACTGAATTTGGAAAAGGTGAAAGATAGTGATCAGTAATGGAAATGGCTTAGTACAACTCATGGGATCAAAAGTCAATAATTCTCTATATCCAAGAACTCGAGAAGTATAATCTAGCATGAACAAAGACCACAGCAATCCAGATTAATATCTTCAATCACCCTAGCAAACATCTAATTCAGCTTCATTTATGTAAATCAGATACCAAAATGAATCCCATTAAACTGAAAGCTGATTGCTAAGTCCTACAACTTCCCAGGTAAAAAAGAAGGATAGCATGGTAACAATGAGAGACAAAGAAGAGGTAGACATCAACATAGTACTGACGTACAATATAAGTTGATAATGTCTGAAGTGATCACAATAGGCTTATCATTAAATTTAAAAGAATTACATTGGTCACTCCAACAAAATACAAAAGGCCCATGATCTTTTACGTGAGCAATAAGGGCTTGTTTGTGTGGTGATTTCGAAAGGGAGAGAAGGGGAGGATCGATATTTATTTTGTAAATTAATTATAATTAGGATGATTGAAAAGATAGTGAAGATAAAAGCTAAACAGATATACCAGATCTAACTAATCATATTAGTGGTAACTATTTCTAATCTAAAACTAACAGATAGAGATAAATGAGTAAACTGTCAATCTTACCCTGCCATTCCCACCGAAATCTTTGAACCAAAAAACCCTAAGAGATATCCTTTTTCACAATCACAAGTTTACTATTTGAAGAGAGCATTATGAGTGGGTTCCTACAGACCACAAACCATTTATAAACGGTAGATTTGATTCCTCCATAACGAAAAAAGTGGAATACCATTCAAGACTCTCATGTTCATATTTTTATGAGACATATCTAGATTTCCAGACTATATATAATGCAATGAGGAAATGATTATTTAAAACAAGATTGATCGCAAATATATATGTGGAGATATACGCGCAGTGGTGCACTAACGATATTAGAAGCGAACTGAATCCTAGAACCTAAGTTCTAACAATAAACAATAAGAATCCAGCAACATTAAAGTTTTAGCTTAAAGAACATACCATAATTACAGTCCTGTAAAAACGGAAAAACATGAATCCATAGTCAAAACAACGTGTTTTTAATAATTAAAAATCATCTTGGTTAAAATGAAGACAGTTTGCTCAAATAATAAAGCTATTTGCTGCATGAAGGAGAGATTAACAAAGTTCCATGTGAAGATGAGAGGAAAAAGCATTATGCCAGGGTAGAATAACACCAGAAGAACAAACAATTGACACCCTGAGAGGAGAAAGAAGCTGCAAAGAACAAAATGGTGAAGATCCGTGAAAAGGAAGAAAACACTCTCACTGAGCTTCATCTACCCTCTTCGAATTAGACTCTTACATGTATTTCCTTAAAGACAGCTATTTTCCTAGTCAGTCTATGCCTGGCTCCTTATTTTCGAAGAGTGAATGGCTTACACTGCCATAGAACTTGGAGAAAAAGAACAAAAAAAAATCTAAAAAGAATGCAAAACTGGAATTGCAGAATATAAAAAATACTAAAGTGAGATGCAATTTTAACCTACAGCACATGAAAGTCATTATCCCAAAATAAATAAATAAAATTACGGAGTAGAAATTGAAGGCATGCCTGATAAAAAGTTTGGAGAACCAGCATTCAAATTCCTCCTAAGAATCCGGCCCCCAGTGTTTGACTCGACTGTCTCTATCAACTCCCTTAACCCCAAATTTCCAACCTTTTCCGTTTCCTTTTCCACCGGAGCTTCTTCACTCTGCTTCTTCTTCATTATCGGCTTACCAGTAAGCCTCTCGAAATAATTTCCGTATATATACTCTGGGGTGTACCCATTTTCCTCGTCGAACAGCATGATGTGACCGTGCCACTCCCAGACCCGGTAATCCGACTCCGATTCCTCGTGAAACCCGACGCATATGTGGTGTTCGCCGATTGCCACGGCCTGACCGGAGTTGGGCTTGAGAGAACCCGTATCGCCGCTGTGGATTTTGCGGATGATATCTTTCTCGAGCCTCGATTCTTCCTTGGCAAGCTGGGATTTTTGGGACGGTCCTACCCCACCTTCATCTTCGTCTTCGTCTGAGTCGTCTTTGTCGTCGGAAAGGAGGTTCTTGATGAGGAGTTCTTCGAAGGAATTCGCGGAAAGCAAAGGAGGGTTCGGGGTTGGCGGGCGGATTTGGAGCTTGCCCATCATGGATTGGAGGAAGAGGCTGTCGAAATTCGGAGTGGCGTTGAAGGAGGAATTCATGGTGGCAGTCGACTGTGGTGGGATTGCAGGGGTTTAGAGGGGTTTGATTGTTTGAGGTTTATTACTCGAGCTGTGTTACGGTTGAAGACATTTTTAAGAGGTAAATTTGCCATAAATTTGCAAGTGTTTACATGTTGCTATTTGGTACAAACTAAACATGTGTGGAAAGGATGTTTCTTTACACTCGGTTAACACTTGACACAAATGATCACAAACAAAATTTACATGTGAAAAAATGTAGGTAGGGTAAGGACAAGTTAGAATGTTTTTACTTGCACTATAATTTGTTGGTCTCGTCTATTTAAGTATGGTCTAATTTGATCTGATTTGATAATGTCTAGTATCTTTAATAACGACGGAAGTCTGGTCTAGTCTGGTCTGATTTGTTAAGTCTGATCTAGTCTGTTTTGTGACTGAAAATGATCCAAGTAAAAACATCCTTAGTCTATAATCCGCAAATTTTACCTAGTACAAATTAATTATACATGCATTCTTATTCAATACTCCGTACTACATTTATTTCACTAACATTAAGCATGAAGAGGTAATGCGATTATTAGAGAAAGTGTGATTTTGTGATTGATACTATTTTGTTTGATATGGTAATGTTTATACACCTTCAACATTGATTGTCAATTTATTAGAGCATCTACAATGGTTAGCTAAACATGTGGTAGCTTTGTTTGACACATCATCTTTTTCTAGCTAATCCATGTGTTAGTCAAATGGTTAGCCATATTGCTTGCATCTTAAATAGGCTCCACAAATCAATCAATGAATTGATTTATTAATATAATATTTTTTTGAAATATTTTCAAATCTATTAAAAAGTTGAATTGACAAGGAAACGTAACCAAACTTTTAACAGATGCATCTATCCGGTTGATCGTCAACTATGATTTTGACCAAACATTAATCTAGCGCCCAACATTAAGAACCCGTTTGGTAACACTGAAATCAGTTGAATCGTCTGATTCTGCTTAAATGTATGAAGTTATGGCTGGAGTGGCTGTATTGGTTGATTCTGCTTATTTATGAAAAAGATATTTAAAATATACTATCGTATTTTATTTGCAAAATAAAGAAAAAATAATATGAAAAATAGCTAAATGGTCATTTACAGTAACTTCAACCAATACAACCAGAAAAGTATCACCAACTTTACTTTTTATTATAATTACGCAATTCAGCACGTGAAATAAAAAAAATTACGTGTTTCATCAAAATGATGCACCTGTCACACGTGTTGAGATGTGTGGAGAAGAGGCGAGGAAGAGAGGGAGGGGAAGACCCAAACAGACGTGGGTCAGGGCAGTCCGAAGTGATATGCTTCTTCTTGGGTTAGATGAGTGTATGGCTTTGGAGAGTGCAAAGTGGAGGACGGATATTCGTGTGGAGGAGTGATCTATTATTATTATTATTATTACTATTATTTCCCCTCATCTTTTTTCTTCTTGTTTTTTATTCTTTTATCCTTGTATATATAAACATTATTTTTATCCCTTTTACTTTATCATTTTTAGGTTTATTCATCCCGTTTTATATTATCTTGTTTATAATAGCTTATTTTTTATCTTTATTTTCTTTCTTTTCCTTTTGGTGGTGATATCATGTATCGATTCATGTTAACCGACCCCAATATCTTTTGGGACTAAGACTTGCATGTTGTTGTTGTTAGTGCTGTATTAAAAAGTTTGCTGATAAGCCTGATAAGCCGAAAACAGAGTCATCAAACGGGCTCTAAGACGGCAAGGTTGAAAATACAAATTATTAAAATTAGGACAATAACATGTATTTTGTCAAGTAAAAGAATAAGGAATATCAAATTTTGACAACACATATATACTGAAAAATACGGAGTATCAACTTTTGCTTAAATATTTCATGAGTAATACTTGTTGTATGGATTTTCATAGTCCTCCGTTTGAAGACCTTACACATGAAAAATAAGAGTACGTAGTGGAAAAAGAGATGGATATCAATTCAATAATTAATATATTTCAAGGATTTCTCCCCTCATGCATAATACCTTTGCTTACCCACCTTTGTAATATCATGCATCAATTTATATGACCACATAGCAACACATTTATTCACATTGAAGTATATCATTTAATTCCATCAAAATCATAATTTGATTTCTTAGGTAATCTCATGCTCAACCCACGAGTTATAGACAATATAGTCAGTCATCATCACCTTAAATATGTCCAGCAAGGTTGCCTATTGAAGCCCCGTCGTTAAACCTTCGATCGGGAATGATCCGAAACAAGATTGGCTGGCAGAGGGCAAAAGCCGCCCGACTTTTGCAAAGGCTGTCCGGCTTTCGGGCCCTGCAGCACAAAAACAGCACCTAGAAGTGGCAGTTTCCGGCGATTTCGATTCATATCGATTCAACAACTCTTCTAAGTTAATTACCAACACTTTATATCGATTCATATTGGAAACGCAGAAACGCGGAAACAGGTACGACGATACGACAAAATCAAAAAAGTAGGATACGGATACTGTGCCATATTTATAAATATCAAAAGTTATGGGGGTGTATTTATAAATATTACTCCGTAAAAGTTTTAGGGGTGTATTAATAAATACTACCTCCGTCCCTTTTATATTGGGATAGAATATGGTGGTACGAGTTTTAAGAAAAATGGGTTTGTGTGGTTGATACCAATTGATAAAGTAAGAATGATTTTGAGCCACACAAACTTTACCAAATAAGGTATGAGACAATCAAATAGGGACATCCCAATATGGTAAAACGAGACATTTAAAATGGGACGGAAGGAGTATTAAAAATACAATTTTTTTTGAAAAAATGCACATATATTATTCTCCAACGTCTACCCATTTAAGGGATTGAAGCATTTTACATTTTCAAATACTTAAATTTAAATCCATACTTTATCTCATATACAGTTGTATACTATTTTAAAAGTTCTAAGACATATTTCTGTTGGAGCTATTAATTTCTAGGGATAATTAGAATTAGGAATAGGAGGATGACTCAATTAGGAATAAGCTCATTAGTTGTGTACTGCATAAAAGCAAGATAAAAATTATTTTTAGCTGTTCATTTTTTATGAATTTTATCATGTAAATTTTGGGTGTTTTTTTTTTTAAAAAACATTCGGAATATTTTTTAATAAAAAAAGTTGATATGTGTATCCGTCAGGATACAGGTATCCGAAATTTTAAAATAATTACAAATAAAATTGGAAACTTTTAAAAACTGTAGTTACGACCCGGGAACGTACAGTACGGGTATCCTAAAGTATCGGATGCGGGAACATTTTTGATACGTCGATATGGTACCCTAATGAAGTATTCGTGCTTCATAGAGTCACCCCTTAATTATATGTCAATATAAATAATTCGTTCAAAAATTATCTTATAGATACAGAATTAAAAGGTCTACATAAGCTAGGCACTGACTACATCACTAACCTCCTACTCAAATATCATATCACCCCGTTCAGATTTTTTTGATCCTTTTTTTTCACCTTGTTTCAGACTTTTTAAAAAAATCACATTTTTGGTGAGTTTCCGACTTTCCGTTCCAAAAAATCGAGAAAATTGCTATTCATAAGACCAAAACATACGGTCTTTACAAAATGAGGACTCAGTTATCTTTTTTCCATCCGTGAGATGTATATAGTCTTACTTTAGAAAACGTTATTGTTGCTTTCCATTTTTACCCTTTTTCACTGCAGGTCAACCACGAAGAAGACACACCAAAGCAATCGACTCACCTTACGCCTTCTATCGATTTCAATTAACTGCATCTCTTCCTCGCAGGCTACAACTGAGTTCATCACCGCTAGAGAGGTCGTCGCCCGTCATCGTCGGAACCCTAAACACACACATAGGCCAAAAAAATCAATTTCGCAGCAATCACGGCCATGGAGAACTACTCCTACCCTTCCTATTCGGATTCTAGCGATTCCTCCCCTATTTCCGTGAAATCGAGTTCAATATCTTCCCTGGACGATGCTAATAAGCCCCTTCCTCCCAATTTCAAGGTCAAGTTCAATGTCTTCCCAGTTTTACGTTACCTGCTCTGTTGTTGAGCTATTATCAGAACTTATTGTCTATGTATTGTCTGCTATTGAGCTATTATTAGAATTTGTTGTTTGTTTACTGACTACTTATTGTCTATGTATTGTCTAGTGTTTGCAAGTTTGATTTTGGATCTGATTTCTTCAAAAGTTTTGCAGAGTACCTGGTGGCCTTGTGGAAATATGAAATAGAAATTCGAAATTGGCAAAATCAATGTCCAAAATCAGAAAGAAGAAGAAGAAGTAGAAGAAGAAAAAGAAGAGTATGAAGAAAATACCTATGGTGGTGGCATTCGATGAAGTCAACTGGACCAATTTTCTGGTGCATCGGCGACGGTGTTTCAGCAGCGGTGGTCTGGTCGTCGATTGACCTGAAGCGTGAAGAGGAGGGATGCGTCCGTGAAGTTTGCGCATGATTTGTTTGATGCGCAGGGAAATTTAATTAGGATGGACAATTTGGTCAAAACAGGTGTACTTAGGTCTTACCCTAATCTGTAGTCCTAATTTTGGAAAATTAGTATGATTAAATCCTATTTGTTGAAATCTCCCAAAAAAATCACATTTTTCTTTCTAAGAAAAAAAATTCACATTTTTGTTGGACCCACCATTTTGACCCCACCCCGGAAGGCCGTCTGAGCCGCTGCTGCCGACCGGTTCTGGCGTTGACGTTCCGTCCATTTGCTTTAACTTCGCATTTTCTTTTATATTTTTTCCCACTATTCTTCATTCATCACCCGTCAGATCTGGCTCACCAGCATATTCCCTGTACTGAATTTCTTACCCGCTCTTCACCCATCCGGTATGTTCACACCCTTTATCCTTCAAATTTGTGTTCTAGATTTGTTCACAGTCGAATCGGAGTTATTCTTTTGTAATTTTCATTTTGGATTTTTCTTCGAAACCCTTTTTCTTTCAGGGTGTGTTTTTCTCCTTTACCTGGATTGCTGGATATTTGAGGGATCAAATGGCCGCTCCGCCCGCTAGAGCTCGAGCAGATTATGATTATCTCATCAAGCTTCTCTTGATCGGCGATAGTGGTACGTTCCCAGCTTC